AACCCTACACGTCTTATATAGCCCTTCGGGCTGAAAAAGGACGTTAAACTAGAATAATAATAATAATAATAATAGCGCGGCGCTCAGAGAGATGGGAATCCAAGATATGGAGGATCCCGCCGGCGGAAAGATTGAACGGAATGCACAGGGAGATGCGACTGGGCTTTTGAGCGAAGCGTGCGTCCTTTCAGCTGTGTGGCCCTACCTCGCAAAGGTAACGTCACCAGCTGAAAAGATGGCGGCCTTGAGGACTGCAATTAATGTGTATCATTCGACCGGGTGCACGGGATGCATTGACATGGCCATGGATGAGGGGGCTTGGGAAGTGATTCTCGCATTAAAGTCTGCCGAGGGACTACCGCTTCGATTTGCCGCGCATTGGTGTATCGTGCCTGGCGATGGGGAGGAGCATCGATTACGACAGGTTGAGCGCGCAATCAAACTGAGCCACGAGTTCAACGCTGAAACCAGTCCGGACCTGAAGATTGTGGGAATCAAAATCATATGTGACGGCGTCGTTGATGCATGTACTGCTGCCCTGTCCGAACCGTACACTTTAAATGGACATTTCGAAGGCCCAATTTGGACTCCAGAGATGCTAGATGCCGTTGTCAAGAAAGCATCCGAGAACGGGCTGCAATGCGCACTGCATGCGATTGGAGACCAGGCTATTCACAACGCTGTCAACGTGCTGGAGAAGTATGGCAAACCTGGCCAGCGACATCGTATTGAGCATCTTGAGCTCACTGCGCCCGAAGATGCGAAGCGGCTTGGTCAACTGGGGATTACTGCGAGTATCCAACCCGTGCACGCGGATCCATCCATTTTCCGTGCGTGGCCTAAGCTGCTTGGCCCTGAGCGAGTAAAGTGGGCTTTTGCATATTCCGAGTTTGCGCATCACGGGGCACCTCTGGCGATAGGTTCTGACACACCTACTGCACCACATCCGCCATTGCCTAATCTCTACATTGCGACAACACGCAAATCAGCTCGCGAACCCGATGGTGACGACGAGCCTATCAACGAACACTTCAAGCTCGAGCTGGCACAAGCGGTGATTGCGGCCACCGAGGGTGCTGCGTATTCAAGCTTCTCCGAGGGTCGCATTGGCAGTTTGAAGGTTGGAAACTTGGCCGATCTGTGTGTGGTAGACATGGAGTGGAATGGTGAGGCGCTGCTCAAGGCGAGGGTAGCAGAGACTTGGTTTGGGGGCAAGCAGGTGTATGCATCTTAATCGAATGCTTTGTTGAGGCCAAATGGACAAGTACATGGTGATCCATCGAGACGGGCTTGGCGGTTCCACGTGATGCCTGGAAGCACACAATGACAGCATTTGATAGGCGTCAGGAGTGACATTGCCAAGGGTTCCTTGCCTGTCTCGCCCGATCTTTCGCCTCCTCTTCTAACGGAAACTTGCGTTCAAACAACCCCAGGTTGTTGTTTCATGAAATGAGTTTGCGATCAGCGATTGGTTGGGCAATAACAGCGAAGTCTGCCTTGCTATAGCCAGTGCAATGATGCACAAGGGTGTTGCGGTCATCTGACCAGCGAGTGGGTGAATGCCATCATATCGTCGGCGAGGCTCAGGATGCGATAGGATATGTTAGAAGTATCATCCATGTATCATCAGTAGCCCTCAAACCCCAGACATGAGGGCGCGACACGGCGCGTTTCAGCGTCTCGACTCCACCTACCCAAATACGTATGTGACGTAGCAAAGCGGAGCAAAATTCCGCACATTTGACGTGCATTTTTACTCGCGAAAGACGGGAGTAATTTCCGCTGCATCCAGCTCAGCTGTTGCATGGAATTCTGGACCGTCTTAGCTGTGGTTATCGTGGCTTAGCAGCGCGGGACAAGCGCCTGCAAGAGGCGGGAAGCCAAGGCATGAGTTTAGAACGTTTCGCAAGCCGGTTGTTGGGATGATGGAGGAAGCCCATCAGGTGAAGATATAATGATATCTTGTCGCGTCCCATTGTATCGATCAGCCCACTCATTCATTCCATATATCTGCATCAGTCATTAGCTGTTTTCAATACCAATTGCACACCTCCAGGACACACAGCAAACTAGTCCATACACGCTCGTACAGCAGCCAACATGTTGAGCAACCGTCGCTCAACCATGATGGTTCCTCCGAACCGCATGCCAAGCTGGCACCCTCATTCCAAGGGAACCATGCCACCGGACACGTCTTCAGTACCTCTGACTACCGAACTCGAATCACCTCAAAGTCGCACACCCGGTCTTCTGACCTCGACATCGCAAGAGCTGCCCGGCCACCGCGTCCTTCGCGCGCTCGGAGCTGTGCACGGCACCACGTCGGCGACGCGAAAAGACACCAAGGCGTTCATCAAGAACATTGCAGCCAATTTCAACAGCAGCTGGGGAGAGGCGAAGAGCGTAACGAGCATCGTATACCAGGCCCGGGACCAGGCAATCGACAGACTGGTCAAGGAAGCGATAAGCAAAGGGGCCAACGCAGTCGTCGGCTTGGAAGTCAGGGAAAGCGAGATACTTGGATGTGTCGTCGTCAGTGTCAGTGGCACAGCGGTTTGGGTCGAGAAGGAGACGCAGCCCAAGAGGGACAGCGCACAAGACGCAAACCCATTCCGATGACCATATGCGAGAGTCGACGGAGGATGGGAGTCAGAATAAGGATAGGCATCGTCATGGCTTAATAGGAAACATGGTATTGGGGTCGATACACATCTTGGCGTTTGGTGCTAGTGGTTGGCAAGGCAAATGCAATATCGTACGCACTTTAACGTCGTCTCTCAGCAATTGCGAGTGTTGTTGCATATAGCCTCCGTGCAAACGCATAATGGCATGACGCTATGATTACCATGCCAATGCCGCAACGGATCGAGGGACAGGCTGGAGGGGCGTCTTTTCCTGGTGCGGACCATGATGGCCCGAACGACAGCTGGGAGCTTGTGTTAGTTCTCGGTAGTAAGCCTGCACCACTTGCCTGCATATGCACATGGCTCTGGGCCGTCTTCAGTCTTGGACGGTCGTGGTTCGGTGAGTGCGGGAGGGAGTAATAGCCGAGCGCAGGCAAGAGTGAGAGTGTGAGTGAGAGGCAGGCTTGGGCGCCACGCCGGAAGAGGCATTTTAGCCGGCGACAACACGGCCGGGACTCCGAGCCGCCAAGCATCTGCGCACAGACGCCGACTGGAGCTGGTTCTCCTCTTCCCCAGCTTCTCTTCCCCAGGTCGAGTCCACCGCCTCGGTACATCGAGATGACTGCAGATTGATCGCCACCCCGGTCACCACGGCCACCCCTTGTCTTCACCCAGCACACTGTGGACAGCCTCACGCGCAACCCACTCGTTCGCTTCATATCAAGCCAATTTGCGCCCGTCTCCACCACGCCGCTGGAATGGCTGCCAGCCAAGAGCCAGAATATCGGGTCACGTCACTGGAGAGGGGTCGCTGCGCCCGCCGACATGGATCGCCAGGAACTAACGCTCGACTTCAGCCATTCTTCCGTACTTCAACCCGCAAATCCTCCAATGACACACAGACACTGTCAAGCCGCTGCTGCACGCACACAATGTAACCGGGAAATAGCGTGACCAGTGTGCTCGAGCCACAGTGGAGATCAGCCTTCATTCATCCTATTGCCAATGACCGGGGTCGCCCAAGCCTCTCCGGAACTGGCCAGAGGTTAGCACAGCGACATGTGGGGTCAACAGTATAAGATGGAGGTCATGCGGCGTTGGCTGGGTGGTAGTGGTCAGTAAGTCACTGTTCTTCGGTCCGCGAAGATGGTGTTTCTCAAGGGCCTCGTAGCGGCTGCTTGCGCTACCGCCGTGCTTGCTGCTGATATTATTGTGCACTCGTCTGGAGGCAACAAGACTGGCAAGTATGGGCACGACTATGGCTATGGCTTCCTCCACGAGGTACTTCCATCATGTTTCAATTCCCCCAGCACCGGCTGACCGTCACTTTAGGACATTAATAACTCGGGTGATGGTGGCATTTACGCCGAATTGATTCAAAATCGTGCTTTTCAATTCAGCAAGAATTACAGCGTGTCCACCGCGCACTACTTCCCTATCAACAATGCTAAGCTCAGCATTGAGATGTTGGATGAGCCACTGTCGGAGCAGCTCCCAGCCTCGATGCGTGTCTCGGCTGGCAATGGAACTGTCGGCTCTGGAAAGATTGGTTTCAAGAATGAAGGGTACTGGGGAATGGACGTCCGCGTACAAACTTACACTGGGTCTTTCTGGGTCAAGGGTGCTTATGACGGTGTCTTCACGGCATCTCTAGACTCCAACCTGACTGACGAGCACTTTGGCTCCGTCGAAATTCCGTCCAAGTGTGTTGCAGATGACTGGACGGAGCATACCTTTGAGCTTATCCCCGAAAAGGCTGCGCCAAACTCCAACAACACCTTCTCCATCACTTTCGATTCTTCCAAAGCCAACTCACTCGACTTCAACCTCATCTCCCTGTTCCCACCGACTTACAAGGGCCGCAAGAATGGTCTTCGTATCGATATTGCTGAGGCTCTTGCGGACATGAACCCTCACTTCCTTCGTTTCCCCGGTGGCAACATGCTCGAGGGTCTTAGAAACGACTCATGGTGGGACTGGAAAAACACTCTCGGCCCTCTGCGTTACCGTCCCGGTTTCCAGGGTGTTTGGGGTTACCAGCAGACGAACGGTCTTGGTATCATGGAGTACCTCCAGTGGGCTGAGGACATGGGTCTTGAGATTGTTGTGGGCCTCTGGGCCGGCCTCGCCCTTGACGGCGGCACCACTCCCCAGAAAGACCTCCAGCCTTTCATTGATGACGCGCTCAATGAGATTGAGTTCATCACTGGACCCGCCAACTCCACGTGGGGTGCTCGCCGCGCCGAGCTTGGCCATCCCGAACCTTTCGAGCTCAACTACGTAGAGGTTGGTAACGAGGACTGGCTTGCTGGCTTCCCCGGCGGTTGGGAGTCTTACCGCGCCTACCGTTTCCCCATGTTCTACAACGCCATCCGCAAGGCTTACCCTCATATCACCGTCATATCTTCTGCTGCCAGCAGCGACCCAGGCGGTACCCCCCCGCTTTCAGGTCCTAACCACAAGAACGGCCAGATTCTTCCCTTTGACGCACTCGGTGACTACCACCCCTACCGCGAACCTGATGATCTCGTTGCAGAATTTGACCGTTTCGACAACGACATTGGCCACATTGTCGGCGAAGTCGCTGCCACTCATGTCAACGGCGGTATCCGCTGGAAGGGTTCCCTAAACCCCTACCCGTGGTGGATTGGTGCCGTTGGTGAAGCTGTTTCACTCATTGGCTACGAGCGCAACTCGGATCGCATCCCTGGTACCTTTTACGCTCCTGTGTTGAAAAACAACAACCGCTTCCAATGGCCCATCACCCTGATCCAGTTCGACGCAGACCCCAAGCGCACCACCAAGGCAGTTACCTGGTATTGCTGGAGCTTGTTCGCCCACCACCCCATTTCCCACACTCTGCCCACGCACTCCAACACGTCCTTCGGTCCGGTCTACTGGGGTGCTGGCATCGACCAGAATCGCGATGGCGCCATGGTCTGGAAGGGTGCCGCGTACAATACCACCAACGGTGCCGATGTTCCCGTAAGCGTCCACTTCCAGGGCATTGGACCCGGTGCCAAGGCCAACTTGACGGTCCTGACCAACTCGGCCGGCGACCCATATGCTTACAACGACCCTTTTACTGGCATCAACATTGTCAGGACGACTAATGAAATCGTCACGGCCGGAAGCGACGGTGCTTTCCACTTCAACATGCCTCAGCTTAGTGTTGCGGTGTTGGATACCGATGTTGGAAACAGCACTGCTCATTACCGCAGACGCTTGCTGTAATTGAGTAAGAATCAATACTATTTATCAGTAGTAATGAATGAATGATCTAATTTTTATTGAAATTCTTTGTCTTTGCAAAACAAGTTGCCTTGGTCTCAACGGTGTACACTGTGTCGACTCATGCCGCCAACTACCAATGGATTCACCCATGTCGACAATCCCTAAGGTATTCACTAACCTGGCACACTATACAATCAAGGCAGTTGGATATTAGTCCTGTGAAAAATAATAGCTAGAGACTTAACTTCATAGGGGACATTATGTTATTTCTTGATTCTTCAGCCCGTACAGCCTTCGACGGGGCATCTTTCAGCCCTGAAACCAGGGACCGTGCCACCCCACACCCCCACATCGTGATACATGGAGTTGCACGTGCCTACGCGTGATAGCCAAAAACAATACAGCGCTAGTACGAGAATCGCCAGACAAGTATCTAGGGACTCCAGGACCGGACAATCTAGCAACAACGCGCACGTGGGAGGGCCAGCCTGATGTCTTCACGCCAGCAGAGCCAATGGCCACTGCTCGCTTCGAGTCTTACGTCCGCTATCACAGTGAACACGGGCGCGGGATGCTACAATGAGTATAGCAATTACCCTGTTGGCACGTTCTCGGGCGGTGGACGAATAGAATGCGTGATTTTGGTGCTGATGCGACCTAACCATCGAGGTGCTCAATTGGTCGAGCGCACAACGACGAGGAAGACAGAGACAAAAACCAAGCTCTGTATTTCTCTGAAAATCGGAAGGAAACTTGAAAAATCTCTTTGGAAAAGTCACCGGAAAAACACATATGCCACCAGCAAAGCGTAGAAAGACGAGAGGTGCGGAGATGAAGCCAAAGAGCAAGCCGAGTGAGCGAAAGCCACTACCCGTCACCATCCTGTCTGGCTTCTTGGTAGTTACTGTTCCGAGAAAGATTTGAGCTGTACTTACAATTGCAGGGTAGTGGAAAGACGACGCTTCTCCGTCATATTCTCCAGTCACCGGACCATGGGCTGCGCATTGCGGTCATCGTCAATGACATGGCAGCAGTCAATGTCGATGCCAATATCATAAGCCGAATGGGTAACAAGCCAACGAGCAACGGCGAGGTCCGCGTCAAGGAGAAGATGATACAAATGGAGAACGGATGTATTTGCTGCACGCTCCGCAGTGACTTGCTGGTGGAGCTGGCGCGCCTTGCGTGGAGTGACCAAGGCTTCGACCATGTTGTCATTGAGAGCTCGGGTATCAGTGAGCCTCAGCAGGTTGCTGAGACGTTTACCACTGAATTGACTGAGGCCATGGCCGACGCTGAAGGAATGGAGCCTGACGAGAAGGAAGTGTTTGCCAAAGTGTGAGTAGCCGAGCTAAGCACCGTGATTGAGGTTGCTGACCGGTTCTCAAGGGCAAAGATTGGTGGTCTGAAGACCATCGCAACCGTCGACACAATGGTCACTGTCGTAGATGCCTTCCGCTTCTTCTCCGAATTCGACACTGCCGAATTCCTGCAGGACCGCTTCGGACGAGATGAAGTGCCAGATGAGGACCAGCGAACAATCTCTGATCTTTTCGCTGATCAGATCGAGTTCGCTAATGTCATTATTGTAAACAAGATTGACAGAGCGGACGCTGCAACTCTGGGCCGCGTCAAGGCCTACATCAAGTCTCTCAACCCCAACGCCAAGATCATCGAGGCCAAGTACTCCAAGGTAAATGTCCGTGAGATGCTCAACACTGGAATCTTCAACTTTGGTGAAGCGGTAGCAAGTGCGGGATGGCTGAAGAGCTTGCATGAGATGACCGTCATGGATGTCCATGGCAAGAAGCGGGTTGCGCCCAAACCTGAAACGCTCGAGTAAGTTGACATACAGAAGGAATTATGATCGCTGCTGACAGGGGTGAAGGTATGGAATTGGGTCCTTTGTGTACCGTGCTCGTAAACCATTTGACCCACTGAAGCTTTACCGGCTGATTGAGGGCAAGTTCGTTCTTCTGCAGGATGAACTAGAAGACGATGAAGATGGCGACGAAGAAGAGGATGATGAGGAGGAAGATAAAGAAAATGACAGATCATCTGAATCCGCCAAAGCCAGCGCATCTGGAGATGATTCCGACAAGGAAACTGACGATGATGACAGCCCTCCAATTGATGACAAGCAAATTTTGGCGAATAAGAAAGCCAGTCCCTACTTCGGTGGTCTGCACCGTAGCAAAGGCATCTTCTGGCTCGCAACCCGCCCTAACCAAATGGGCTCATGGAGCACTGCCGGCGCCATGCTAACGCTGGGGTCTGAAATGCCCTGGTTCTGTTGCGTGTCTCAAGAAGAGTGGGGCGCCGACGAAGATACTGTCAAGGCTATCAGGGGTGACTTTGAAGGCAAGTGGGGCGACCGCAGACAGGAAATGGTCTTCATCGGCGAGAAGCTCGACGTCGACGGGCTAACCAAAGCGCTCGATTCATGCTTGCTTAGCCCGAGCGAAATGAAGAAATGGGAAAAGGTGATGAAAAACAAGAAGCTGGATGATGAGGAAAAGGAAGAGAAGCTCCAGGAAATGTGGGATGATGGCTACTGGGCTGAATGGCCGCGCATGCAGGATGGTGAGGATCATGAGCATGACCACTCTCACAACCATCACCATGGTCACAAGCACTGAGGTCAGATGCTCCTATAGCGATGGCAGCGTTAGTTGTTTACGAGGATAGTGAGGGGTTAGCATGCAGAGAGACACTGTGCGTGACGTAAGGCGCTAGCGAGTCCTCCAATGACGCTCGTAGCCGCTATGTCGGCTTTCCTTCTCAACTCTCTGAGTTTACCCAAGTGTTTCATATTCTAGTACGTTACAAAAGTCATAGTTGGTTGCTATAATGCCATTCCGTCGGGAAATTATTCCGAACGTCTTCCATATGTCATTTTGTAGTAGAAAATCAGTACACGCACCTGGTCAAACGCTGGTATACCATGAAGAGACATGCTCTTGTTGCACAAAGCAGATCCCCCTCGTGTTATTAATGTGGGTAATTATGTATAATGACCTTGAGAATCCCTACAGTACATATTCTCCGTCTGTTGGGCAGATGCCCGCCGCACTAGCCCTGACGCAAAACGAAGATCTTTCCCTTGCGGAAGCTAATTCTCCTTCCTGTTCGAGGTGGCGATGCGCTGTACCAGCATTTTCCTTGGATATTTAAAGTGGCTGGATTTTGATATTTTGTTTTTATCAATCCGGGTAGTTTTGAAATCTCCGCAGTGGTTTCAAAATGGCACCAAAGTCAGCATACATCAACCTAGTTTTAGTTGGATCCAGTCTAGCCCTGGTCTCTCCTGACGGACACACCGGCCGCCTCCCTGCGTTGGGATGGAATTCATGGAATGAATATGAATGCGCCATCAACGAATCCATATTCTTGGAAGTAGGGAATCTTTTTGTTTCTCTTGGTCTAAAGGATCTGGGTTACACTTATGTCAATATCGACGACTGCTGGAGTGACAAAGTCAACCAGCGCGATAGCACCACTGGACAGATCAGGCCAGACGAAAAGAAATTTCCACAGGGGATAAAGCACACTGCAGACGAGATCCACAAACTTGGACTCAAGCTCGGCATCTACAGCGATGCAGGCACCAAAACATGCGGCGGATATGCTGGCTCCCTTGGGCATGAGGAACTTGATGCCAATACATTTGCAGAGTGGGGTATTATTATTGTTCCATTAGAGTCTAGTGAGCTCGAGGCTATGTAAGACTTTGGCCGAGGCCGTTCTAACTAGATTTATTTACAAATACGAGTTTGTGCTTGAAGTGTGTCTGTGGTGCTTCGGCCTTTGTCTAGGTAAGCGATAGCTATCGCTTACTAGACGCCTAGTGCTAAAGAAGCATTTTAATAACAGAAAGAGATGTTAGAAAGCAAAG